TCTAAAAGTCGGTATCATGCATAGGAACGTTGACGCCTGCAAGGCTCTGGTTTTCAAATAAGTTTGATCCAACATCAAACAAAAGTGATATCAAATTCAGAAGTGACTTGTTTTTTACCTACTGAAATGTTCGTTAGGTAACAAGACGCTCATTCTGTGGGCGGTCTGCTGGTACCCGTATCCTACTTCCAGTGCATAGTTGGCGGTTTATTGTGTATTTATTAAAGATTGAAATGACGTTATTAAGTATTGACACGCACAAATTAGTCAGACAATCTTGCTGTATCAACCAGAACTCAAAATCAATTTTCTAACTTGTTGCTATAATTAGTAATCTATGTGTAGGCATAGTAGACATACAAATGAAACAATTATTTTAATACATAGTTATGTTATTATTAGTACTGTACTAAAAATAGTTTCATTAACAGATAATTAATGTAATGAATAGTTAATACAGTTTGCAATCATAGTTTATCAGTTTACAGTTAACAAATTAACATTATTAACAGATTTAATTCATTTCAGTTACTAGAGTACTTATTTGTCAAAGTCATGGATTTGAACTCAGTATCCTGAAGGGTACTTTAATTCTACGCCAAGTCAACAAATTTTCAGAAAATTTTAGTAGTCACCTTTAAGATTTTATTGAAACTTGCATAATATGCATCAAGATATCTAATGAACACATCCAAAATTTTACTTGTCGTTTAGAAATCACGGCCATGTGATATTGTGGGTTCATACCTCTCTTGCCTTGGTTAACCATATCTTTTTTTAGTTACATTAATTAGTCATATCTTAAAATGGAATAGAGATGATAAGGCCCTATAAAAAATATTATTAGTTTATCACCCTATATGGGCAGGAAAAGTGATGAGGGAGGGAGGCTTTTTTTTTTTTATTTTTATTTTGCTAAAGCCAAATATAACCCTTGGTTTGTTTGCTGGTGCATTGATATTCAAAGCAAAACATGATTTAGATAATGCAAACAATATCTACTAACTACTAAAATAAATGAAAAAAAATAAATAAATAAAATTAAAAAAAAAAAAAAATTTTTTAATTTTTTTTTTTTTTTTTTTTTCAGTACCATAAAAGGCATGCACGCGAGGGTGATAAACTAATAATTTTTTTTATTGGGCCTAAGCGGAAAATTGGTTTCTAGACTTTTGGCCACAGATCAGAAATATGACATCACTTGCAGTATTTCCCATCTCATTTCAGAGATTTTGTTCCGTATTTATTTTTTTATTTTTTTTTTATTAAATTGTTTTTGTTATTGATTGATTTTATTCAGTTATCAGAAAATAAACAATGACAAAGAAAACACACATGACACTAAGGATGACCCAAGAGTTGTAGAAAAAAATCCTTATTTCAATTGGGATCTTTGCATTAACAAAACAGATTTAAAAACTCAGCACAAGATAGATGAATTAAAAAAAACAAAAACAAAACAACAAAGACCAATAGAATTTAGTAAAAAATGGACAGCTATAACGTGTAAAATTTCAATATAAAAATACAAAAATTTAATAATTGTTACATGAAATTTGCCTAATAGAATTGTTTTAATTGTAAATTGTGTATAAAATTTAAATCAGAATCAGAAAATATTTGTTGACATCAGCAATTTATTCATAACAAAAGTTCTCCAGGATAATACATGGTCTCCATTCTTGGTATTTTGTTCTGATTTTTTTTTTTTTTTTTTTTGGTGGTGGGGGGGGGGGTTCCTAATGTTTAGTCTACAAAGGAACTCATTTGCAATAAGGATGTAATTCCTACTTCCTTTGTATACGCTCAAATGCATTTTCTTTATAGTGTATGTTTCTACTAGCTAAGAAAAACGGATTCTAGGAATGGTTCTTATAAAGGACAATTTCCTGTGGGAACAATTTCCTGTGGAAGTAGTAACAGGGCCCATTCAAATGTTTTCTTATTGCTGACATAAAAAACAGTTTTCTAGCAGCATGCCTGAAATACTGACAAATCGTTGTTCGTGGAGTAGTTTTTAGCTGCAACAAAGATTACTGCGCAGCCCAATTTTGGCATAGGTCAACTCATAGTTAACAGTCCAGTTCACAACATTTAAGTTGGCAGAGTTACTGGACTTATTCTACGAGAAACTAAATCCTGTATGCCTATCACTCATTGAAGCTTTTTGAATTCAGCAGTGTAATTCCTACAAAGAGAGTTCATACTTCCGATTAATAAGGAAGATTCGAGAAGATAAAAATAGCTTAACCACAAAGGAAACTAATTTTGTTTTAAATTCAAGCTTACTAAGCCAAGGCAATCTACTTCAGACTTCACAATCTCAATAGAAATTTCAAGAGATATTTTGTAGCATATTTTAGATTTCATTTGCTTTACATATTATTGCAGTAGTGCCTGTTTTTTTTTTTAATTTAATTTTTTAAATTTTGTACATAAAAAAACATCTTTCACAATGCTGCTTAAAATATAAGATTAATCTTTAATTAAAGAAATGCAAAAACAAATGTTCTAGTATATTGTGAAAGAATAAATTTAATATGAGAAAGGGAGTTTTATTTTATAGAAATTGTTTGATATATTATAGTGTATATTATATTACTTGTGTGGTAGAGTAACATTCTATTACTATTGTTATTATTGGTCAGACTTTTTTTTTTGGAAAAGTCTGTATATGCTTAAAATAATGAGAAATAGCAAATAGGAAAACATCAGTAATGATCAAGCATTTGGATAGAGGTTTTTGAAAAATATTTTGGTCAGAAATGAATAGTATTGATTAATATGTGTTTTTCTTTTCATTTTAGTCAGAAATTTATGAAGAGGTGGAGTTGGTAGATGTCAGTGTGGCGGAGAGCAGCACCAAAAACCTTAATAATAGTTTCAGGGTAAGTCTTACTGTGACCAATATAAGAATACTACTAATCTTAATATACCGTAATTCCTCTGGTATCGTAGCTTGGTCCTCGGGAAGATAGGCTACCGTCTCCACATCACCGAGGGGCAATAGATTTTACCATTCCCCGAATCTAGAGCAGTTAATATTTGTTTTATATACCTCATACACATATTCTACAAGGCCTAAAAAGTACTTAATTAATTCCTAGCCTTTAGAGGCATACTAACTAGGGCCTATGCGATGAAAGGGTGTGTACAGTAGCTCTTCTTTGCTCATTTCCTCAATTTCAACCGATCTGACAATATTTGTCGACTATTGACAAGACATATTTAATTTATCTTTTGGTGCTTTTACTATCGGCTTTGTCATGAAGTATAGGCCTAGGCTAGTCTTTCTTAATACAGGAATTCAAACCGACAGCCTCCATAATTATTGTTTATCGTCTACTCGCTGATCTGTGACGCGGTCCAGGGCCAATTTCTTTCAGTGGGGCCAAGAGTTTGCACCACACGACAGGTCAAAAACATACTATTTTTCAGGGGATTAGTACTTTTTATTGCCCACTTGCCAATCAGATGCCTAAAATCTATGTATGAGGTATGTAAAAGTTTATATTCCATTATTCTGACCTGTTTTATAATTGATATTCAAAATGGAATGGCTTAAATGATGTTTTTTGTGATATCAAAAAGCTGTTTTGTTTATCATTTTATGTTAATCTCTAAACCTTATATTCATGGGAAGAAAAAAGCTTAGTTTCTATTTAAAGTGATGAATAATTTAATGTTTTAATTGAATTTTGATGGTGTTTCCAGATGTTAATACCACATACATAGGTTCTAGGCATCTGATTGTTCAAGAAGCTGTCAATAACTTCAACCATCACTCCTGTGATGTAGGTTGATTTTTTCCCAGGGAAAAAGTATTATCATTATTTTGCCCTGTCACAATGTGTAATCTCTATCTTTGCTATGTAATTTATGACGCGCACGGATGGTAGTGTACGCAACCGCTACGACAAAGAGAGAGATCTGCCCTGCGCTCGCCTAGGCCTAGGAAGTAAGCCTAGGCCTACTTAGTGTGTACTCTTTTCATTACATTTTTAGGTCTCATAGAATCTGTGTTTGAGGTATAAAATAAATATTGACTGCTCTATATTTGGGGAAAATGGAAAGATAGTCTACGGTCTCCACATCACCTTGTGGCAATAGATTTCACCATTCCCCTCATGAGCAGTCAGTATTTGTATATTATACATATTTGAATTAAGTCCAGACCTGTTATTAATTGATACAAAATGGAGTGGATGATGTCTGATACTGTATTAAAAACCTTTGCATATGATATTATGTTTATAATAACCCTTGGAATAATGTGCATGCCTAAATTAATATTCAATTGGGAATTTTCATATTGTCCCCTTTATTTTTGTCCTGTGAAACCAAAACCAAGAAAAACCATATAGCCTGGTACTTGGCATTTCCTTGTTTATTCATGGAGAATCCTCCATGGTTTATTAAAGCACAATAGGCCTATAAACATGAATATTTGTTATGAACCTGGTATTATGATTTCACTGTATTTGTGATTAGAGAAGCCATCACTAAGGTAACAAACCATTTACATTTATAAGACCAAGCAAGAAAACATTCAATTTATATGATTGAACTAACGTGACTAAAGAGAACAAAGACGCTAATAATAGTCCTTTTAAGTTTAGTATAAATAGTAAATCTCTTTAAATAGCTTTAAAATAATTTAATAAAGCTATTATTAAGTGTATTTCATTCCTTAGCAAAATAGTATAGAATTCTATATAAAGCATATTTTACTGCAAAAACATCATTTTGGTATTGTTTTGTATCCAAAACTTGTTATCATACGGAATATTTATTTATTTAAAAATCTAAATGTATTGATCTTTGTGACTGCCGTTGATAATGGTATACATTGGAAAAATTTACTGTTATTAGAAACAATAGGAGATTCCGCCACAACTTTTTCATTAGGACTAATTTAAAGTCAAACCACACTTCTCTGAAGGCGGTGATTACTATGCAAGTTTGCCCACTTATGCTGTGATCGGAGAAATCGGCCTTCTCGTTGGGGATATACAGTACCCCACCCCATCGGACGAATCCTCATGCCACCACTGCTGTCTAGGGCTCATGCATAAATTTTCTGTTTGCTTGAAAATCTAACATTTCCAACAGAAACCTCAGTACTGCAAAGTATCTGATGGCAGGTTGTCTGAGTCTTCATTGTGTTATTTTGGATTGTTTACCCTGTTTTGATCTGGGGAATAGTTATTAATATACCATGGTATCTCTTACAGCAGTAATCAGATACTTCTGGGGAATGAAACCATATCTTAAAACATATTGTGTTATCTCGACTTGTGTCGTTGAGCTCAATATAGTATTCAAGCCAAAAAAAATTGAAAGACTTCATGCACAAATACATGGCAACCATTATTGCTTGTCCATAAGTAAGTACAGTAAAACGTCAATTTTACGAACGTCGATTTTATGAATAGTCGATTTTACGAATGGTCTTTGCCCCTGATGACATCATCGATCAATTATTAATTGATATGATTAATTTGTGAGTCAAACTTTCATGTCTGATTGAAAAATAAACATCCTGGACTCATTTATGTCCGACCGCTTTAACTAAATGATATCCAAGAGCGAAGTCAGCTGCCAAGGTCTTCGTCAATAAGTACAATCTCATGAGCGTGTGAAAACGAGAATCACATGGTTTTTCGGTTATACAAATATTATATGCGTACAACTGGGACAGCTCTATAATATTGGTGTCTGAGGCATAGCTAAGCCATTTGTAGTCTTTCAACCTCATCGTTTTCATCTTTCTGGGCATTTTTGTTCCCTCCTAATTGTTTGAATTTATGAAGTGATCATATTAAATATCATGTATGTTTTGTAAGACTAAGCAGTGACTCCTAAAGACCTATTATCTAGGTTTGATATGATGTGCTTTTTTAACCTGAACAGTGCAGTACAGTACCTGTAATCAGTTTTTATATATTTTTTTAAATTGTAAATTATTTACATCACTTGTGAGTTTTAGTTGCAAGACCCAAGTGTTCATGGATATGAACTCTGTTGTAGAAAGGCAAGTGAAAGCGCCTATAGGAAGCTGCTGGCACGATTTGACCCGTTACTGTAGGTGAGATGAATGTTGAATAAGTTTGAGATGTTTACGAGTCAAAACATTGTTTTTACTTTAAATGTCATATTTTTAATACCTTTCATAATTTTTTTAACTCTTCTTCCAACTCTTTAAATTTGTAAACATGCTCTATAATCCGTTGTTTACGTCCTGAAATTACCATGGTTCAGCGTTGTCAATTCATACGCCAATACAATCTCGCGATTTTTTTAGTAATTTCTTAATATTGCTTTGAATATTTCTTCATAAATCTGTCCACTGAATGGTAATCGTCTTAATTTCTGGTTTTCGCTGCTAATTTCTGGGCCATCGTGAGTAAATTTATTACTATTTAATTGTGATTGCGGTTTTCTCAAACTGGCAGTAATCCATTGATGATGACAGTCCATTCATATTCAGACTGGAAATTAATGGATACAATAATCTTAAATTGAAAATATTATCTAATATAATCTGGTCATAATATATAGCGCCTTTCTTTACAGATACGAAGCCCTGTAAGTTTTTCCCTGGTCATTGGGTCCTCATGCTTAAGTGTTGCTGCCATCTTGGCACAAGAGAAAGCCACTCCACAAGGTACCGTACCTATTTATACTCCTGGGTGGAGAGAAGCAATGCAGATAAAGTGCCTTGCTCGAGGACACAAGCGAAATCCACAGCGAGGGATTGTAACCCCGACCTCGACGTTGGGAAACTAAACCGTTCCCACTGCACCAAACCGCTTCCACAAAAAAAAAATTGGCGCATGGCTATAAAACTTTTTTATTATTTATATGATAGATTCTATAGTTTATCCATTGTCATGTTGTGAGATGGTTACTTTATTTATTATAAATTTAACACAAATTCACAAAGGAATTATTTTGTAATTAATGTTATTTTTGCTGAAAATTACTCCTAAAAATTCCTTGCTTACTTCATCCTAGGTAGGTTTGCTGCCAAAATGTATGGTTGACCCTCATAGAACGTATTTGAAAATTGGTAATATACAATTAACTGATCTACCAAGTGTCACAAATCTGATGTTCCATTGGCTTCGAGAGAACTCTACTAGCTTCGTATACATTCTTATAAGTTTGCTTTAATTTACAGTAGCCCTAATTTTGTCCTCGCGGTATGGACTGTTGTTTGACTCTGAACCTAAAATTCAATTATTGATTCGTCTTGCTCCACCGGAGTTTAACCTTAATCTAGTCTTTTTACATATATATCAATGGTTTTCTAATTACGTACGACGTAAAGTTAGCTACAAGGGTATTGGATCTCACCGTTGGGACTTGTGTGCTTATTAATGATGGATTTGATTAGTGAGGAAATGATACTAATTATATTTGCTAATGATAATTGCATTCAAATTATATCACTCTCCTTAATTGAAATCTGGTCTCATGATAGCAGTTACCTAGATCTTTTTCATCACCAAAAATTGGCAAAAATAAACCAAGATGACGTCATTAACGAGATATGATTAGAAGAAAAACAGGTTTTTGTAAACATATTCAGCAATATTGTATATTGGACAATGCACTTAAAAAACATTTTGAGTACACACAATCCAAAATATAAAATGTTCCCCTTTCTCAAGAAGAGATTTCCAAATGACCAGAATCGCAACAACCAGGTCTTGGAGCAGCAGTGTCTGCACTAGCAGGGAGTCAGGGGAGGTTTTAAGATATTCCAGCTGCCTCTTTCAAGGATATCCCAACAAGTGAACCTCCCTGACCCCCTTCCCCCTTAGAAGAGGAGATACTGTTTCACATGACTTTCAACTGTGAACCAAAGAATGCGGTTTTGACA